CGCGCGCGCGAGATGAGAACAAGAACCTGCTCGAACTTGCCGCTACTGCTGCTCCTGATGCCTTCTTCCGTTATGTGACATGACAGTATGCCCCGTCTGTCTGTCTATGAAGCCCCTGGCAAAGATATCCATCGCTCAGGCCGCACGGTGCGAGATCCATCACTGCACCTTCTTTTCCTCTCCCGCCTGTCGGGAACCCCATGGCTTTGGCAAAAATTTCGACTATTGCGGGGCGGGATCATGGCCGAAGCTTGCGAGAGTGTCGTCGGTCGTCTTGTAACAGTCCAGATCATTTCTCGACTCAGGCTCGTTGTTGCGTAGGTGGGAAGTGACGACAGCCGGGGAGCGGGAGGCGAAAAGGAGACGGACGGGATGCGGGGGGTAGGGGGTCAGCATGGAACACAACCATTGATTGTCACGATGGCATCATTCAGTCACACTGAGAGTTTCTTTGGCAGACAAAGGTTTCCGATTTGTGTTTCTAGGTCTAACGAGTTGTGAGCGTGGCGTGCCACGAGAAGATATGGGAACAGGACTCAGCAGTATTACATTGAGCATTGAGCAAGCCTGAGGTTCATTTCATGAGACAAGCAGCGGCAACGACAACGGCAATAGAAATTTGGACAGGTGGATGGACAACAAGTTACTTGAGCTTTTGACCAGAAACGAGGGGAAATTTGAGAGGTAGAACGAGTGCTGTCGCGCCGTAAAGGAGAGACGAGATAGGCTCCTGACGATACCTGTCCTTCTCCGGCTGTACGTACGAGCACGTTCTCCCTCGCAAACCCTTTACTTCATCTTTATGTCCCGCACCACTGGAATATACGCGGCCGAGTGATAGAACGGGCTTCGTAAAGCTCAATCGTATGCTCCGCTATTTAATTGGCGCCTTTACTACAAACTAAGAGCACAGAAAAGCTTCACAGACTGACAAAATCAGCCTGTTGATGAATACGTTCATACGCCGTGGATTCTCGGTAAAAAATCAGAGAAGATGCTTCCTCCATGCTATACTTCTGACCCTGACCCGTGGATCGTCGTACTGTCGCCATCGTTGCATTTCAGAGTTGATCTTTTTCTTTTTCTTTTTCTTTTTCTTTTTTTTTCAACAAGGAGGGGAAGTATGTCACTAAAAGGATTTTGCGCCAATATGAACATGCTAGGTAAACGACAGCCTGAGCTCGTTTAACAAGAACAGTTGACCCAAGCAAGTCCTCGAGCCCCGTTAAAATGGGCTACCACTATGATGTTACCACGGATAGGGTCAAGTGAAGTCGCTCATCCACAGTCCCACGCGGTATTCCGCGTTGGGGAGAGGTCCAAACAGGCTCACTCTATGATCCAGTCGAGTGATCCTTCCTTCTCGACGAACAACTCATCGAGGCTGACTGAGGAATGAGTTTACCCGCTTGAGGTTCTGTTTACGCTCCACGCTCACCACTTTCGTCCTCCCGATGCCATGCATGACGGCCGGCCGCGACCGTATGGAGCCGGCCACCATCTCGCGATGCTGCTGTCATAGAGCGCGTAAACGTCTGCAGGTGCTCCCAACGACTGTGTTAGGTCAGTAGTCGGACCTCGCCGCAACCTTGAGGAAACACGAAGCCCTTGGCCCACTCCAATGGATGGGAGGGGGTGGTTGTTCGGTAGATCATTCCGGATCGAGACTCCCGTTGCCTTGGCTCGGTCATCCAGTCAAGACATCCTTTTGCGTGCTGCTGTACTTTTAGCCTGAATCATTCGCTAGAGCGAGAGGTGACTTGGAGTCAATGTATGTCAGTCCGCGAATCCAAACAACACATAATCGCATGGCGCCTAGCAAGTTGAAATGTTGATTGACTATGGATTGTGAGCATAAATGGCCGTAATGACAAGTCCTCGTTCACTCATTCCCTCACTCACTGACTCTTGATGCTCTCCATCAGCAACCAACCCAAGAAACCAAAGACCTCTCTCGGAGAGAACACCCACAAACCCCTTATGCACGCGAGAAGCTTCAAAAATCAAATGTTTTTCCATCCGCTCCGGTAAGCCCATCCGTCATCTCATTTCGTGTTGAGACGCTCATCGCCTCTTGTAAGTCTTCAACGCTCCACCGGAATCAGCTTCCTCCTGACCCATCATTTCTACCTCTTGCCAGCGATGTCCCTGACCTCCCTCACACCATCGAGACTGCTCCGCACACTGACGCTTGAGCTACGCCTCCTCGCACGCCTCGTCTCGTTCGGATCGTGCGGGCTCAGTCCACTAGCTCGCGCATACAGATTGAGCACGTCCGTTAGACTGATGACACCCGTCAGATGACCAGACAAGCTGGCACCGGGGAGGGCCGCAGCCGAAATGGACAACATAGGGAGCGGCGAGGGCGTCGAGATGGAAGGGTGCGAATGATGATGTGCATGGTGTGGAACGTGTGGGTAAGGAGGCGTCGCCGAGGGAGGGACATCATGTGCATCATGGGCCGCGGGAGAAGGAATGTCAATCGCTGGGGTAGATGAAGATGAGTTAGGTGGCGAGAGGACGCCTGATGAGGGAGGGGAGAAGGCTGGCTGGGCAGGCGTTGCGGCAGGCGTCGGAGGACCCGACGAAGCGGGCGACGGAGGTGTCGTTATCCACATTCTAAACAACTTGGTCAGCTTGACAGACTCGTCAAGCAAGGCAGTAGGACAAACCTGTGGGATTTCGTCGCCACAAGTTTTGCGACGGCGTGCGCAAGAGTAGATTGTGGTGTGACGTGAAAGACGGGGAATGAGTCCTTTCCATCGTTCATGCCCCGCTCCGAAAGGATGACCGAGATGAAATGGATGCACGACGAGCGAAGGAGCGGTAGAGCAGTTGTTTTCGTCAGAAGCTGTGTGGTACATTAGCAAGGACCACGCTGATCAAGGGTTGGAAAATTACCCTGACGTCGACGTGAGAAATGTTTCCCACGACGTTCATATGATTGTCAACAACCGGAAGAGACGTAATACCCTCAGTATGCATGATTTCGAGGGCTTCTGTGACTGGCCGATCTCCACTAGATATTGCATAAGCGGAGTTCAGTCAACCTCTCCTGCACACTCACTTGATTGAAACGACGGATTGCGATCCGATATTGAGCTCCCTTAGCGTCTGGGGGTAGAGGTGGTCGACGGTAGGGAAATTCCTGCCATTCAACCAAAAGAATCCGACAAGGCGCAATTGGCTCAGGACGCCAATAACCTCCTGGCTGTGCTCCTTGACGATGATGATGCGGTGAATTCCACTGCCAAAAATCTCGACAGCCTTGGTAAGATTGGCGGTATGCGGAAGAGTAACGAGCGGCTCCTTCTTGCCCAGGTCCTTGACATCTCTCAGAGGCACCGGCTTGCCCTCCCTGCCCTTTTGTGCGAGGTCGTTGAAGGAAGACTCGGGAGCTTCCGGACGAGCGAGGCCAACAACGAGGAGGAGGTAAGCATTCAGGTCGCTGTAATCAAATGTGCCAATGGCGGCGTGGGAGTCTTTATTTTCGCGGATGAGGACGACATTTGGGGAACCAGAAGAAATGAGGACCTAGCGGTTCGAGTTAGCTGGAGGCGCTCGCTGCGTAGTGAGAGCTGCGGGGCCCCGCAAAAGAGACTCACATTGGTCGCCTCCTCGACGCTGGCATCAATGCCGACGAAGCGGACCAGGTCCGGGTCAATGACTTCGCCCACGCGGATGGATCTCCAGTCGCGGCCAGCAAAGGCGCTGTTCTGGGTATGTTTGCCAATGGGAGGGTTGTTGAGCAGTTCTTGCAGGGCCTGTTGGGAGAGCGAGGGCTGGCGCGAAGCGCGCGGGGAGTTGGGCATGCCACGAAGGTTTTCGACGAAGCTTTGGCGCTGCGAGACGCTGGGGCTCGAGGAGGAGGACGAAGGCGGCAGCTGCGGCGAGCGAGGCCCTGGATGCACCATGATTCCCTTCCTTGAGCAGGGAGACAATAATTTGGGACAGACGTGGTGAAATGGATCGATGGTGGTTGGACTTGGGCGGCGGTGACGATGGTGGACAATGCGAGGGGTCGATGTCAGTGCGGAGCGGGGCGGTGGGCGGTCGGTTAGAGAGGAAGTGCTTGTGAGGCCCGCGGGCATGTGGGAGTTGGCGAGATGAAGAAGCGCGGAGGCAGGATGAGGATGCAAGAGATCGTGTCGTCGCGATGTCGAGGTGAGGGGATATTTGGTGTCTCTGGGCTTGTGGCTGGGTTGATGCTTGACTCCGACCTTGACGCTGCGGCTGCCTGCCTGCCTGCCTGCAGCCCAGCGGTCCCTTATCGCGCTTCTTATCGCACGTCACTGCTCTGCTGGCTGTGTCTGGGCTTGAGGCTGCTGGCTTTCACACCACCACATTCAGACACTTGATCGTCTCGTCTCGTCCCTTTTGCCATCCGCATAGCCCTGATCACCTGCTCTCCAGTTGCAAACTCAGCTGTGCGCGAGCACCTTTTTTCCCCGATGGCGCCCGTCCCGTCCGATCCATCGTGCAGCATTCCGCTTCTCAGGCGGCCAGCACAGCGCTTCATCACTGTCTTTCCCTTCTGATCCGATCCGACTTCTCCGCAAGTTCTCTGGCTTGAGCTCGCTGTCTCGAATGCTCCACACAGACGCAGTGTGGCATCTGCCAATCCGCTTGGCCCTTGACCATAATGCCTGAGCGACAGGACAAAAGTTCGACCCCGCCGCCAGCCTTGACGTCAATGTCTTGGTTACACCGCAAGCACTTTTGCGTCCATCGCCAGTAATCCTCTCCAAGTTCCTGCGGGCGCGTTTGATGAAGTTTTCCCGAGGAGTGACCCCTATCACGGAAAAGGGATCCATGGACCAACTCATAGTTCCCTTTACTCGGAGTAGCAGCGAATGGCAGACGACGAAATGCTGATACAACCGGGTGAACTCCGGGAACCTTGATGTGGCCTCAAAATTCACCCGAAAGACTCCCGGCACCCCTTGGCACCACAGCATTTGTAAAATATATCTCAAATTATCCCCAACGACATCAAGTAAGCGGGGTTGGTGTAGTTGGTTATCACGTCAGTCTAACACGGCATTTCCGAGCAATCTGAAGATCCTGAAGAGCACTGAAGGTCGCGAGTTCAAGTCTCGCATCCCGTACTTTTTGCCCCTGGATCCCACAGGACCCACAGGCACAACCGACCTCTGGGCAGTTCTTTTTGCTCCATTGTACAATCAGCAGGCGGTGGCTTGCTCGTTGTTACTGTTCACAGGTGGACGAAGTCATCTGTCAAAGGTGAACAAAATCTCGGATCTCGCACATGTCGCTCTTTTTCGCCGGGCTACATGTGTCTGCTAAGAGTACGTTGAAAAACTAGAAAACCCAGGCACTCGGCATGGCATTCCACTGCTGTTTGCGCCAATCGGTTGCCAACAAGCAACCGCCCACTCGTCCCTGGACCCAGGAATGCGGGCAAACAACGTCCACAAGGCTAAGTACCGCCTCCATTCCTATTGTCTACATGGCTGAAAGCCGATCGATTCGTGTCACCAGTCCGGAGTTTGCGCGGTTTGCATCTCTGTCAAACACAGTCACCTTTCAGACCTGCTGGACTTGTCACTTCGACATGATATCCGAACAACAAACATATTCTTCGTTTCCGTCTTCTACATAACACCGTCGCCTTCATTCGGCTTGATATCTTCCAACTTCAAAGTCAGAGTACGCAACCTGATTCTTGGACCATCACCTTCAGCTCGTTTGTTCAACTTTCAGAAACAATGAATTTGTAAGCACACCGTCTTGCACTGGATACGACAAGGTCTCTGAAAGAATCACTGTTGGCACCTGAAGCCTCCGGCGGGGGACAAGTTGCCATGCTCTTCCGCCTCTTCCCCGTGAAACCCGCGAATCCTTTCGTGGTTCTCCCCAATCTGCGAGGAGAGCATCAAGGTTATTTGTAACCTTGGGATTAAGCCTCGGGTAGTCATGCGAGATGCACAAAGCCTGAAACATCAAGCTCATCTAGCCGCATGCACAGATGCTGGGATCATAGCTCTACGACTCGACACTCTGACGACAAAGTCCAGCTATTTTGCGTGGCGTTCGCGCATATATGAATTCAACGAGACCAAACCCGACACTATCGCAGCAGCAAAAGCTCTGGGCCAATCCTTCTAGTCAGGTATGCCAAAATACATGCATGTCGATCAGCATAGGTAGCCAGATGTGGAAAATGCGGCTCCTACTAGAGACCCTGAAATATTGTGTCGAGGACAAGATGATGTAGGCAGACGGGTTCCTCCTGCACCAGTGGGAGGCGAGTTGCGACGACATTCCTTTGCTGATTCGTCATGATCTCCACGCTCCTTGCAGCACATCTGCTCTCCACATTCATTACTGCTGTCGCCGGCGCCGCGACGCCAGAAGATTGGGATGCTTTGAACAAAACCGTCGAAGGTCGTCTGTTTCGCGGCTACCCCCTCGCGAAACCATGCTTCAGCACTTACGAAGGCGCAGCGTCGCCTCCGGACAAAGCTCTGTGCGATTTGGTCGCCAAGGGGTGGAAGAGCGACCTTGCGCTGGTGACGCATTATGAAGGCTTCATGAACGTATGAAAAAAATACCACTTGTCATTCCTACCACAGCTAACGACGTGGCAGACGAACTGGGCCGCCTGCCAAAAGAACGCATCCTCCTGCAACCTCGACTTCATCAACCCCAGCGACCCAGCCAACTTTGCGCCACCTCGCGACTGCCGTCAAGGCAGCGTCTCGCCGTACTATATCGACGTGCGCAAAGTTTCGGACATTCAAGCAGCGTTTAGCTTTTCGCGCAACACCAAGACCATTCTCTCGCTTAAAAACACTGGCCATGATTACAAGGGACGCAGCTCTGCGCCCAATTCCCTCGCTCTATGGCTCACCAACCTGAAGCCGCCACTGCAATTGGAAAACAACTTTGAGTCAGAGGGGTGTCTTGGGCCCGCGGGAGATGGAATCACAATGGGCGGCGGACAGGGCATGCGCGGCCTGTACAAATTTGCAGAGGATAACGGGGTGACGGTTTCGGGAGGCACATCGTCGACAGTTGGTGCGGCTGGAGGATGGATCAGCGGGGGAGGGCACGGATTCGCGACCAACACTTTGGGGCTCGGTGTCGACAACGTGCTGCAAATCAGAGCAGTGCTGCCGGATGGCCGGTACGTCACTGCAAACGAGTGTCAGAATCAGGACATCTTTTTCGCATTACGAGGCGGAGGCGGCGGGACATTTGGCGTCAATATCGAAGTGACGATGAAGACGTATCCGAAGATGTCATTCCAGGTATGTCCACCAGTCCGGGAGGGGTGTGCTCATGATTCTTACAACCGGCAGGTCGCCAACTTTGCATACACGTCTTCCGACCCGGGGAGCCTCCGCAAATTTCTGCAATTGATCGCAGAAAATGCCAACCAGTGGGCAGACGGCGGTTGGGGCGGCTACATCACGCCAGGCGTAGCAGGCGACTCAGCATCAGCCTTGACACTGCTCACGCCCAAGCTGGACCACACAGCCGCCGTCCAAGACATGAAGCCAGTACTCGACTTTGCGGCGACTCCAGGGGTAAAACCAGTCGTCATGTCCATCAACACGGCCAACACGTACTAGGAAGCATACTCCAAGTACCTAGGCTACGGCGAAGGCGAGAAAGTCGGGCTGCCCACGGCCGTTGGCAGCCGTCTCATCCCGCGCATCACCTTCGAGGACAAGAGCAAGCGCGACGCGCTCGTCGACTTGCTCGAGGACCTGGTGCGCAAGTTCAACGCGCCCAGGGGCGACCCCAACGCCGCGGCCTACGGCCAGAGGATCCAAATCTTTGCCGTCGCGCCCTCCAACTACAAGCTGCCCGGGGGCCGCGACTCGAGCAGCGTGACGCCCGCGTGGCGCAACGCGACGTGGGAGGTGTTTGTCAACTCGGTCGTAAACCATGCCAACGAGGCAACGCCGCTGGACACGCGGGAGGCGTTTGCCGACGCGCACGAGGCGACGGAGCGCTTGATTGCCCTGACGCCTGGGAGTGGCGCGTATCAGAACGAGGCCGACACTTTTCAGTCGGACTCTGAAGAGACGTTCTGGGGGACGGAGAATTATGAGAAGTTGTACGAGATTAAGAGGAGGGTGGATCCGGATAACATTCTCACTTGTCATCAGTGCATAGGCTGGCAGCCGGGTGATGTGAGATACTCTTGCTACCCTGACATTTCGTAGGTCGGGTCGGCGTCTTCAATTTCTCGCCTCAAAACGTCTATTTGCAGCGTTGTGTTTTCCAATTCAGGAGCATTCTAGTCTCGTCTCACTCCCTCTTCGTTTGCGGCTCAAATCACCAGACGAGCTTCTTGCGTCACGGTTGATCAGCTTCACTTCAAAAGTATCGTACATGTTCTAGTTATCTTCTTCTCGACTAGTCCTCCACTTCTGCTCTGTAACTCGGTGCTCAAAGAAATACAGGTGAAGCAGTGAAGCGGGGAAACGGGGACAACGCGGAATTTGGATACATCGCTTCCGTCACTTCGCGGACGCCTATGTCCCTTGCGGATTTCAAGTTCATGTTTACCGCCCTGTCGACCAAGACAAGTTCATTCCAAAAGTTCATCATTGCTTGTTCTCTCTGCAAAAGCACACCAGCGAAAAATCAAAATTTCTACCACACCTAATCTCCATATTTCCCCTCAACCGCGCAATTGCTGGCCATCGGCCTCAAACCCAGTCCTCCCCTCCCTCTCCTCCCTCTGGTGCGCCAAAACGTTGCGATCCTGCATCCTCCTGGAATGTAGAGGCAAAAGGGAATGCGCAGAAGGGAGGCTCAAAGGGCAAAAAGATTGGACACTGTGGGAATTGAACCCACGACCTTTCACATACTCAACACACTGTTGTTGCGAAGCGAAAATCATACCCCTAGACCAAGTGCCCTGATCATTGACAAATCCGGATGCAAAAATTAAACATCAAGCGTAATTTGACAACTTCCGTAGCGTTTGGTTGCGATCGCCAGGACTCCCAAACTTTTTGAACTATGTTTGGAAAAGACGCATATGAAGCGGCAAAGAATAGCCGGAGAAACACATAGATTATGACGAGCAAGCGTGGCTTTTCCGGTGTCGTCGGATGGTGATGTTACAAGAAAAAGAACAGCATTCTCTTGCACCACAAATGACAGCGTGAGCAAACGCCTACATCGTCCGACATTTGTGCCTGTATGAGAGAGCGAGCGAGCAGCCTAACCTCATCTCTCTCCTTACTTTGCTTTATCCAGGACACAGGAGTTTGTCAGGCTCTGCTCTCAACTGCGCTGTATGTACGCATTGGTGCACAAGACCTCATGGCCAATCACCAGGTGTGCGGTGGAGACACCGGCAGACGGCGAAGATCCAAAACGTCAGAGAAGGTGGATGACGAGCAATGTGAAATCAAGTCAATCGCGATAGACCGGAGAGCGCTACGCAGGGAAAGTCTTGTTTTTTCTTCTTTGAAAACAAGTAAAAATGACCAAGTTGCAAATTCCATTGCTGTTCCTGACGACTGCCAACGACACCATGATAGCGACGAGCCAACAACAGCACCGATCAAACAGTCGCATCGTAATGGGAATAGCCCCGAATACGACATCAGGGTTCACTTGCGTCGTGGGTGAGAGATTGTGGGGTGTGGAGTCGGGACGTGGGCGGGGAGCGAAATCGGCGCGCGGAGGCGGCGCAGAGTGGAGAGAGCGAGTGGAGAGTCGGTGGAGAGGAGGAGCGGTAGGTGCAGCGGCAAGCAGCATGACGATGACGACAGCTTGATGGCATGGTTGGCAGAGGACGCCCAGGTGGTTTTTGGCCGCGCCTCGAGGAGCGAGAGACATTGAGGAAATGCATGAATTGGAAGATATCCAAGAGCCTGTTGTGTTGGATGGCCGTTCGCGTGAGCGCAGATAGTTGCCAAAGCCGGAAAAAGGAAACCGAGGGAGAACAAGAGACAGAGAAACGGTCGTTTTGATGAGAAGTGTTGGAATCGTGAGTACTGCTAGAATGATGCTCCAGGCGCTTTTCTTACAAAAGACGCGCCGTCATGACCAGAGATTCAAATGAAGAGGGGTTTGATGGTACAACGGCGCCCTGCTCCGCCTCGCTCCTGCGGCT